GAATGGTTACAAAACCAAACATATAGACTGGCCAGTTCAACCGAAGTTTGACGTGGGAAACGATGAACAACTAGAACGCCGTAGTAAGATATATCTGTTTATGACATTGTTGTGAAAAGAGATGATCAACTATTGGATATAACAAAATTCAGTAATGTGCTGAAATATCTCAAGAATTATGGCATGGATTAGACGTTTCGTTGCTAAGGCCGAGAAAACTGCCTGCTAATAGTGGAACATTAAGTGCTTCTGAAATTCAGAGACACTGAAATACTTTGTGTTCGTAAAGCTCAGAAGAATTTTCTTCACACCTTGACATTAAGGCTCTTCAATCTAACAAGTCAATTTCTCCAAGCTCTGATATATTCAGCTTGGCACCTTTTTCTTGATGAAAATAAAAATTCTTCGAATAAGGAAGATTAAAGAAACCGAATATACGGTTGACGAGAAGCATCCAGTTCTTCTTCCTAAAGATTCCAAATTTACTGAATTAATTGTAAAAGGGGGACATAATAACATTCTGCATGCATGAGTTGGAGCAATTTTAGCCAAACTACTACAGAAATTTTGGATTCCTAAAGGCCGCCCGTTGGTGAAGAAAATCTTAGGAAACTGTTTAATTTGTCGAAAATATGCAGTAAAACTAGCGAAACAAATGACAGCTCAGTTGCCTAAAGATCAAATTGTTGAAACTCCACCTTTCTATGTTACAGGCGTGGATTTGACAGGTCCGGTTCACATCAAGTCTGGAAACGACATTCAGAAATCATACATTGTATTGTTTACATGCACTGTTACACGAGCGTTACATCTAGAACTCATTTCCAATATGTCTGCAAACAAATTCATTTTGCTTCAGACGTTTCATTTCGAGAAGAGGAAACTGTCGCACCTTTTATTCAGACAACGCGAAAAACTTTCAAATATGCTGCCAAAGATTTACAGTATTTTTACAGCATATTAAAGGTACAGACTTTCAAAATTTTCTAGCAAATGAAGGCTTGACTTGGAAATTTATTGTCGAGCTTGCTCCATGGTGGGGAGCTTTTTATGAACGCCTTATGAAAACCATAAAGGAACCGTTGAAAAAGATATTATGCAGAGCTCAACTGAATTTTGAAGAATTTATGACTGTGTTGACAGAGGTCGAAAATATTGTGAATAGACGTCCTTTTGTAAGGATCTTAAGTTTTACTAACGTTTATTTTGTTTTAAATCTTTACTATCACTTCTTATTTTCTACTTCCGGCCAGATTAAAAGCTTAACTTATTATGCAAATTGTCTTGCGAACGCCAAGTACTTAAGTTGTGGCTTTTTGCCAAGCAGAGAAGAGGAAGGAGCTATTAGAAGCAGGCCGCTGCCATAGTAGTTTTACTCAGTTGCTGGTTGCCTCAAGGCCAGAGGTTTAATCCTCTGATAATTTTTTAAACGTATCGTAGTGTTAGCAGTTCTCTGTACTACATACGGCTTTTTGTTAATATACGGCCAATCTTGGAGTTAGGCACTTGTTTGAATCATCTAAAGTTAGTTTAGTTAGAGTTTACTTACGTTCAGACCACAAGTGGTTGCTCTCTGTATTCCAAAGTCCGGAAATCATTGTAAAGAGAGAAAAATAAAGGGTTTCGTATACCCTTCCTGTGTATATTGTCTACTTCCCAAATTTATTGAACATAGCTTTAGTAAGCTTCCTGTTCCGAGTCAGGACAGTTGATGTTCCCTAAGCAAGTAAGGAGGAACACAGAACCTGATACTTTGACCTACGATTACAACGATTTACATGAACCTGAACCGCTTGCACCGGCTGATTTTCTATTGATCGGACATAAGGATGAATATCCGTATAACTTTGCTGAGATCCTGAATAACTCTCCAACAAGAAAGAGTCTAATAAAACGAAAACAATATCAGACAACACTTATAAAACAGTTCTGGAAAAAATGGAAAAATTAGTATCTTCTTGAATTAAGAAATGCTCACTTCTTCGGTACACCAGAAGCAGAAAATTAAAATTGGTGATGTAGTTTTTACTTGAAGGAACAACTAAATCTAAGTTCCTCTGGGATTTAGGTCGAGTAATTCGTCTTCAAAGGGGTTGTGATGGTCTTGTATGATCATGTGGGTAAAAACTAAAAAGGGGACTTTAAGAGACCTGTGCAATTGATATACCCCCTGAACTATCAGACTGAAAATGAACTAAAATTTTGTAATTTTAATTTTATTTCTTATATTTCATGTTCACTAACATTAATTTTAGATAATTAGTTTAGTTATTCTAATAATTTACTGTTTGTGATTTGAATTAATATTTATGTATTGAGTAACATTTGAGTTGATGCAGTTAACTATATTTGTTTATTTTACAGAATTTGCTTTTGCAGTTTATTTTACTCAGTTGAATGTACTTGATATATAAGTTGCTTTCTACATTTTTCTTATTTGTATGCTGAAATAGTGATAATTTTTGCAAAAATTATCAGGTGGGGAGTGTGGAAAAATCCCCCAAATGATTTATGTATCGCCGTTAGAGGGCGCTTCGCTTCGGAAAAAGAATGTTAGTTAGCTTGTGACGTAGTTAGTTAGCAGTGAACCATCGATGCAATCCAGGTTGCTTTGTAAATAAAATGATTATTTTTGTAGATTGTTGAAGTATTTGACTTCATTTAGAATTAGACCAATCTTTCGCCAAAATTGTAATATGCCAACCAACTGAGGATGTGCTTTACATCCTCAGTTGTTTGAATTTTTTGTATATAAAGAATTTTAGTAATCCTTTACTATGTAGAGTACCACCATGAAAAAGTGTTTGTTTTTGGCCATTTGATTAACATATGATATACATAATGGTGTATTATGTAATGTATTCATAAAATATAAAATTAATAGTTATCTCTGTTTTTAGGCCATAATTATTTTTATATATATAATTATTTTTATATAATTTGAATACATAAGGTCCATGTGATTAAATTTTGTACCACTGGTTTTATGTATCATTAAAACCATTTCGTTCAATTATATATAAGAAAAATTTTTCTTTAAAATACATGTGGCTGAATCTTAATGCATGTCACATTATCCAAACCAACAAAATTGGCATTTCAAATACATATATTATGTATATTTGAGTACAGATGGTGCTTAATATGTTAAAAATGACAGGTGTGAAACTTATTTCATTAGTCAGAGTGAATAAGAAGAGGCATTCTAAATCATAAAATGGAGTTTTCAGGTAGAACTTCTGCAGCAGTTGAAGCTTCTTGATTATGAATGGCATATATTTCTGGCCATTTACTAAAGCAGTCCATGACGACTAGGATGTACTTGATAGTTTAGTTTTATGTGGTAAATGTGTGAGAATATCAGAATAATATTTTCAGATAGTGCTCCTATATTGTAGCACTGTTAATATTCCTCACTTACGTGTCTGCTGGACTTTTTGAGCTTCACGCACATGACGGGATTTGCGCCATTTTTCTACGTCTGCTTTGGATTTGTCTCAACAGAAATATTCAAAAATTTTATGTAATGTCTTCATTACATCAAAATGATTTGCATCAGCCTACTGTGAAATTCTGACAGAAAACAAGGGACTCAAGATCTCAGTTAGATTAACTGTCATTTAAAATTTCTGGCATTTAAGCACTTTTGTCATTAGCTTCCCTTCTGCTGTAGAAAATTTCTTTTCGTAAGTGGTGGGAATCCTGTAAAGCCAAATATTTTTTTTTTTCAGCAGATTAAAGAATACTTTTTCTGATCAGCTGAGTTTTTCACTTCCATTTTCAATTAATTCTATTAATGGTTTCAATTCAGTATCTTTCATTTTGGCCTTTCTAATCCTTCACTATCCCAGAGATCAATCTCTGATGTTATAGAGTTAATTTGTCTGATCACTGGGGCTTCAAAGCTATACTTTTTCTTGGCTTTCGAGCAATGTTTTAACTTTTCTGCACCAGGTCTTCTTGAAATTGCATTATTAATGAAATACCAAGTTCCTTTGCGATGTCGAATTTCCGGGTCATATTTCTGTAGCTGCTGTATCCATTTAATTACTTGACTCTCCAGATTTTCAAAATTAAGTAGCCAACTTAATAAATGGTTAGTGTGTGACGAGAACTTCCAGCCGTAGAGATAACGATGGAAATGCTCTACTGCCTTAACAGCTCTAACCCAAAAGACTAACAGCTCTTTTTGGGTATTACAATAATTTCTTCTCAGCTTTGAGAGGCTTTTGATAATATAGGCAATAATATGCTTTTGGCTATCAGTTTCTTGTAAAAGACCAGCTCTATTCTCTTCATTGTGTGCATCTATATTGAGAATAAAGTCATATTCAGGTTGGGAATAAGCTAATGCAAAAGTGTAAATCGAAGCATCTGTCAGGGTTTTAAATGATCTTTACTGTTATCAGTCCACAAGAACTTTGAGATGGTGTAAAGAAAACCTATGTGTTTAGAGAAACCTTTGGCAAATCTTCGATAGTAAATTCAAAGCCCAAGGAAACTATTTAACTGATGAACATCATGAACCTCAGTCATGAACAGCTTTGATTTTCTCAGAATCTATATGTACACATTTGGTGAAGATAATATTGTCAAGGTAGCTTACTTCTTAATGACATGTATGCTATGTATTTTTATATGTTTCAAGTTGTATGTATTGGCAGTTGCTCAAGATACCTTCTAGCTTAGATTTTTTAATGATTAAAAATCATTCTCATGATCTAAAGGTTATGAAAACAAATAAAAAATAAATAATTGTACATATCATGATAATAAACACTGTGTAATTACAAGGTTTTGCAAGTGGCTCAAAAATGCATTGCCATTCAGTTAGTTAAATTCTAACTAACTGAATGGTTATTACAGGATTTTGCAAGTGGTTTAAAAATGCACGATCATTCAGTTAATTATATTTAAATAGTTAAATTATATTTAAATCAGTTTTATTTCCAAAAATTTTTAAATAATTCAGAAATTTCTATTTGCTTTTGAATTTGCAGTTGGTTCAAAACAACCTGAGATCATCCTTCTGGACCCAAAATCTGGATCCCAAACTCATGAACTAAGAGGTCATAGTCGTTCAGTTACATGCGTTAAATGGTCACCTTCTTCAGAGTATTTACTTGCAAGTGGGAGTGAAGATTCTAGGATTTTATTCTGGGATATCCGTTCTGCCAAAGGTTATTTACAAACTCTTGATCAGCATAATGGTGAAAGAGGAAGTAATCAAAATTCTGTAACAGCACATTCTGGCATTGTCTGTAGTTTACAGTTCACTAGTGATAGCCTTCATCTAGTGTCATATGGAACAGATAGCCAGTTAAGACTTTGGGATGTTGCATTATGTGCTAATACATTAGTAAATTTTGGTAGAGTGCACAATAGTTCAAGAGTGCGTCAACGTATCATTGATTTATGCTGTGATTCTAATCCTCAATTAGTTTTTGTGCCAAGTGCCAATAATGTTCAAATTTTTGATCTGTTAACTGGCTGCAGAGTTAAGAAGTTATTTGGCCATTTCTGTGATGTCCATTGCTGTGTTTTTCGTTCTGGTGCTCAGCAACTTTATAGTGCGGGTAATGATATGAATATACTCTTTTGGACTCCTGATCTAGCTCAGGAGATAGAAGAAGAAGCGTGCATGCCAAAAGGCTCAAAGCGTAATATTCATGAACATTCACCACATTCTGATTTCTGGTCTAGTGATGAAGATTAAAGTGATATAATTTATAATTTAAGAAATTTTGTTAAATGAAAGATTTTTTTTTTTAGTTATGAATGTCACTAAAATCCTTTTTGTAAACAGAATATATTTATGACATAGTGCAATATATATATATATTTTATTTCAAAGCTATGACAAGTATTTTTTGGATACAAAACAGAGATCTTGCTGTCTTCTGAGTCCATTGGTGGCTAAATGGTTGCCTATGTGAGTGCTGTCAGTTTTGTCCTGAATACTTTTTTTGTATGCCCGGTGAATCTTCAGGAATTTACTTCAGTACTGGTTTTATGTATTTTCGAAATTTAATGATTTAATATACTAAGGGCTAGAATTATATGTATGTATAAGGTACAATTATATCTTGTACTTGCAATAGCCTCTAAAATGTCCTTTTTAATATGGTTACCACCCCTTTCTGTCTTAAAAACAGTATAATGCTTATATTAAACCTTTTTGAAAATTATCATTCCAAAATTATTGTCTATCATATAGTACAGTCAAAAATCGTTAATCCAGACGTCCATAATCTGGACCTCAAAGCTACAAAATTTCTGCACATGCATACACGCATTATGCATTTACGCATGTGCATATGCATTTATGCATGCACATAATACTTTTATGCATGCACATATGCGTTTATGCATCCGCATTTAATGTATAATGGATGGTATAAGCTAAGCTAAAATTATCTAATTATCTATTTCAGTTAATGTTGCAGATTGCGTAGTTCCTTAATCTTTGAATTGGGTCTGGCTTATTATTTTTTTCAAACTGTTAGAGCAATTTTATAAAAATAAGCAGCTTGAACTTTCGATTATGTCAAAAAGAATTTCCGATTCTGGAGCTGCCAAAGGATCTACAAAGCAAAAGCATGTTTGATGTCCATCAAACAAAAAGTGGAATTGCTGCAAAAAATGGATAAAGGCATATCCTTTGTTTCTCTAACCATTCCGAAATCTGTTTATCAATTTCGCTGCTCTGCGAGGGTGGGGGGGAAACGATGCAGCGCGCAATGAACTGGAAGTTGATCTGTCAGCACTATCCTTATCTTCAGGGCAGATGTTTTTATTTTATTGGGCTTATAATTCCTTACTAAATGTAGTATTTCATCTCGATGTACTCCGTCTTTGATATGATTTAAATCGAATTCTTCATCATTATAAATATCATGAATACACATCAAATAGTTTTCTGACTGCAATTTTCTAATTTCGATTATGTGTAATGTATGCTTTACGCATGCACGTGTTGAAAGAAATGTTTAATAAAGTAAAAAATAAACATTAAGCTTTTTTTTTTTTTTGTAAATTTTGATACCCTTTCGATCATAATTGCTCTTTATTTCATAAATTATGGTTTCATATTTTTAATTTTATTTATAATTTCTGCATGCCATCTTACCAGATTTAAATTGATGATCTATAATCCAGAAAAACCGATCATCCGGAATCACCGAAGTCCCAACGAGTCCGGATTAAAGACTTTTGACTGTACTTCTTATATAATGCAAATAATACACATAGTTACATAGTGGCAAAAATGAACCTTAAATCATGAAATCGATCTATTTATATATATATATATATATTAATGAGTAATAATTTTTATCACTGATATATTTAATCAATATATATTTGAGTAATATTTTTATCACTGATATATTTATTAATGAGTAATAATTTTTCTTGCAATAATGTAATAACAAAATCTTCCTATAAATTATAATTTTATTGCATTAATATTTAAATTTTAGTTTTTGTTCCATTAATATTTAAATATCTTTTTTTTCAAAAAATATTATTTTGAGTTTTAAAAGTCTATTAATAAAATCAAGTTCTTAAGCATAAAAGATCGATACTAGCAACTAGCAACTCTGACTCTATGATCTGAGCCCGGATGAACAGCAATTATTCTCCCAACCTCATTTTAAGAGCAAGTTATCCTTAGGACTAAGTCATTGACTTCTAAATTTTTTTGACTTTTTTGCCATTTAGGTTTTTGAAGCTGAGACAGGTATTCTCTACTCCATCTTTTCCAGAAGTGATGAAAAATAAACTGTTTCACATGCCAACTGTCAAGGTGATTGAAGGAACTATAATTTAGCTCTGGTTCAGGTATGGCAGTTAAAGACGTAGCTATTAGGAAATGACCAGGTGTTAATGCAGTTAAATCATTTGTATGAGCCGATGTTGGACACAATGGCCTAGAGTTGAGACAAGCCTCAACTTGCGCTATCAAGGTCTGAAATTCCGGATAGGTCAGCACAGTATCACCAACAGTCCCTTTTTAGATGTATTTCATTGACTTTACTGCCGATTCCCCTAGTCCACCACCCAAATGGGGATGATGCGTTTGAATATCCATTTTATTTCCTCTAAGACAAAAATTTGATTTCTTGATTTTGCTTACATTGCAAAAAACATTTTCTTATTTCTTTGTCTGCACCTTAAAAGTTAGTACCGCAGTCACTATAAATTCTCAAATAGTTTCCCTCTTCTTGCAATAAATCGTTTCAATGCACTTAAAAAAATGCCTTTGTTGACAAATCTTCTACCACTTGAAGATGTACTGCCTTCATTACAAAACACATAATTAAGCATACTTAGCATTTAAATGATTTTTGTGCACGTCCTGCACGATGTTTAATCATGAACGGTCCACAAAAATTTATTCCAGTTCGATGAAATGGTCGCGATTGTGTTACTCTAGATTCCAGTAGATCAGCCATTATTTGACTTGCAGTTTTAGCTCTACATTTGCAACATGTGATACAAGATCTTACTACTTTTCGGATTGCAGATCTAGCAGCTATGATCCAAAATTGCTGTCTAATTAAAGATAGAAGTTCCGGTGCTGCATGCAGATATTTGACATGAAAGTGTCTAATTATGATTTCTGTCGGATTGTGTTTTGAAGGTAATAAGATTGGATGTTTTTCATTTTCTGGTAGTTGCACATTTTTCAGTCTTCCTCCTACACGTAACACTTTGTTGTCATCTAAAATTGGACACAAGCTAAGGAGGTTGCTGTTGTAGGTAAGTCCTTTCCCAACTCCAAAGATTGAATTTCTTTAAAAAAGTGAAATCGCTGTATTATTCGGACATACAGAAAGTTGCAGTTCAATTTCATTACTAGAAAAAAAAGACGTATTTCTTTCTAGATATGCTACTTTAGAATTCAATATGAATCTTAATATCCAAGCAAATATGCGTTGTAACTTTGGAATTGAAGATATATTTGATATAATAGCAAGTTCTTGTACAGGTTCAGAAACTACAAATGAGACTGTTTTACATTCATCTGGTAATGCCTCTTCATCTATAAGAATATTTTTAGACAAATCAATCTCACTGCACTTTAACCAAGAAGGACCATTCCACCACAATTGATGAGATAATAGTTCTGCAGAAAATAACCCACGTGAAGCACAATCAGCTGGATTTTCTTTTCCATCAACATGACTCCAGTTCTCAGGTGGTAAGATTGATCGTATTTCAAAAACTCTATTGGATACGAATACTTGCCATTTTTTAGGATCTGACCTTAGCCATGACAACACGATTTGTGAATCACTCCAAGCTTGCACTAAATCAAAATTTATAACTAATGCAGCTTTACAAACTGAATCAATCGTGCCAATAACACTGCTGCACTAATTCCAGTCTTGGAATCGTATAGATTTTAATGGTGCTACACGAGTTTTAGTGTTCGAGTTTAACATTATGTCAGAGTTATTGCAGTTTTGATATAAATAACTGCTGCATAACCTCTTTCAGACGCATCACAAAATCCATGAAGTTCACATCGAAAATAATCAGGTAGCAGAATTTTCCTAGGTATATTTATAGAATTCAAAAGTTTAACTTCTCTACATAGATTTCTCCAATTTCGATCAATCTCTTCTGTTACAGAATCTTTCCGTGATAATTGTAATTTCTACAATTGCTGAAGGAATTCTACAATTCATTTTAGCGAGAATTACAAACGGAGCTATCCACCCCAATGGATCGAATAGTTTTGCTACGAATGACAAAATAATCCTTTTAGTCAGAACACTTTGATACTCTATTACATCGACATTACATTTGAATTCATCATTGTCCGGATGCCATTCCAATCCCAGAACTTTCAATGTTTTGTCTTCTATTACAGATGATATTGTCAATATCTGTGTTGTAAGCCAGAGGTTTTTAACAATGAGGGTTCACTTGTCGACCATTTGTGAAGCTCAAAGCCACCACTTTTTGGCAGTTGTTGCAATTCGTCTATCAATGCAATACCTTTCAACTATCTTTTACACCAGTTAACATATCATCAACATAAAAATCCTAAACTATATCTTTGCCTTTGGAAAGTTCAATCCTTCGTCAATCGCTAACTGACTCAAAACTTTGGTTGCAAGATATTGGAGCTGCAGTTCCATATATAACTGTTTTCAAACGACAAACTTGTATTGTTTATACCGGCTATCTCTCCAAATATTCTCTGAAAATCTCTATCTTTTCATGAACCTTTATCTGTCTGTTACATCATTTTTAATATCAGCGGTTATTGCAATGTTATGAAGTCTAAATCTTAGTAAAATACAAATTAAGTCATCTTGTATTTTTGGGCCCATCATTAAAGTATCATTTAAAGAAACATTTGTGGTTGTTTTAGAACTCGCATCGAAAACAACTCTCAATTTTGTTGTTAAGCTAGAGTCCTTCAACACGAAGTGATGTGGGATATAATAGTGATTATTCTCTAATTCATAATCTGTATCTGGAACTAATTCTACGTGTTCTAGTGAAAAGTACTCTTTTATAAACTGAATATACTGGTTGTAAATTTCTTTCATAGATAACTGCCTTCTTCTCCAAGTATTGAAATCTTCTGTACGACATTTCACGGGAGTCACCTAGAATATCTCTGTTATGTTTGAATGGTAATGCAACTGAATAACGACCTGATGTGTCTCTAAATTGCGAGTTATTAAAATGTTCTTCACAAAGTTTTTCTTCATTTGTTAAAGGTTGCATACATTTGGAAACTTTTCTAACTCCCAGAAAGAATTTAACTCATCTGTGTTTGTATTCAAATGATTTACATATACTGGCTCAAAATTTGTAGTACCTGAAATTATCCATCCCAACCTCGAATTTAGAGCAAATGGTAGATCAGGACCACGTTTGACAATTTCTCCCGTCATTAAATGCAGAAATACATTTACTCCAAATAAAATGTCAACTGGTTGCGACTTGTAAAATAATGGATCAGCTAATTGTAAATCACTGAAGTTATCGAAGATGATTGATGGCAAAGATACATAGGGAATGTTATCTGTCACCTTGTCCAGTAAAAATGCTGATGTTGATACACAAATATCACTTTTAAAATGAGAAGTGAATACTAAATCGACTTCCCCATTACTTAAAGTATTAAATTCTCCTAGACATGATACAGAACTGGAATTATCTTTCACTCGTAATCCTAATTTCTTCACACAGTTCCTTGAAATAAATGATCTCTGAGATCCAGTGTCACATAAACATCTACAC